CAACACTAAAAAGCATTATCTGAATTGTTTCAGATGTAGTATTTTTTGAAGATTACTCCTTTTTTAGCCGTCCAAATCACTTTGTAGAAAATTTTCACTCTCTTGAAGTAGAATAGAGAAAGGCAATAAAAAGTGTTCCGGAACACGATTGTCAAAAAAAGACATCTTTTCTACGTCAAAATACGCTTGCAGCATTTGCGTAACAAAAATGTGAAGGTGGTTTCAGTTTCTTACTCATTATTCAAAAAAAGATTTCCATGTGTAAAAATTCTAGTGTTTCAGTTACTAGTAAGTCATTTTTACAACACATTTTTCGTGGCATTTTGATAATTATAATGTCTCTCCCTTCCCGAACAAGCCTCATAAGGAAAAAAAGAAATTCTCAGCGTGGAAATGAGGTCTTGAAGCGAAGAAGAGATTCAAATGTAAAGGGGGACAACCCTATGGCTTAAACTAGATATGTACAAAAAATCTGAGAAAGCACAGATTTCACTTGACTTCCGCTTTTACTTCTTTAAACGCCAAATTACTCATGTAAAACTTAAGCTTTCATACAGAAAAAATAAACTCATAAACAAGCAATCCAAAAACTGACCAGAAAAAGTATTACTTGTTTTGTAAACAACTTCCATACTTGAACAGATAATGATATTTAGCAGCAAGTTTGGCCGAAGAAATCTATACCTGTTTCCCTTCAAGATCGTAAAACATTATTGTTTGTCCGCAGTCAGCAACCGCAAGTATCTCTCCTGTATACCCCCTAAATTTTTAAAGAATTTTTATCAATATCCTCATAAAACCTAAAAATTCTTAATTTCTTCAGTTTAAAAACTGAAAGTTTCAAAAAAAAAGCCTAAATAAATAAACCAAAGCGACTGACGCAGTAACTCGGGCCGCACCAAAAGCCATAGCCCATATTGCTTCACCAGACGGACGTGTCAACTTTGCAATTTCTCTACCACCCTAGATTTCATCATCTATACGAATATTTCAAAATTCTTATTTCAATTTTTTTCAACTTGATGATTACTTCCCGACATAAACTGACTTGGTTACTGCAATAAAGAAAACGGTGATTTACAGTACATCAAAAAGACGCAACATAACGGTTCCGTCAAATAAAGCAACTGCGTATATTCGGCCATCTGAATTCCACGCACAGCTTGTGCATCGACTTGTTACACGTTGTTTGCCAACACTTTTTTCCGTTTTTGTCCATAAACCTGAAACACATGTTGAGTGTCGAGCAAAACAGAATTTTGCAAATAGTCATTTTAGCATAAATGTAAATTTTTTTCACTAATTACCAGTAAAGTTTTTGCAAAGTGATGAGGCAGCTGTAATAGCAACGACGAAAAATAATGTTATATTAATAAAGAAGAAAAACGAACCAAAATCGGTGACTGCACAACTGAGGAGGAAACAACCAACTGGACTGAAGGCAAGACACTGAACTGAGTCACTGTGCCTGTAACATATACTGAAATTATTAAAAGAAGCAGTTTTTGAAGCCTAAATAAAGATGATTTTGAAGTTAAGGATAAACGTATATTTTCTTTCTTTTTTAGAATAAAAAATCTGAACATACAATATCACATTTACCTATAATAAATTTTTGTCTTTACATAACAAATGGTATTTCATTTCTACGATTTTTCTGCTAAAATTGCTTATGAGTACAGATTAAAAAGATGAAATTAGACACTGAGTGAAATGTAAACTAACGAGTATTTTAAAATCGCTTCGTGTTGTTCGGTCCAAACGATCACATTCCGATCTGCCGAACCAGAAGCAAAGATATCACCGTCGCAAGAATACGCAACAGCATAAACCAAATCTTTGTGTCCTACAAGATTTTTGTACCTTGATCATTAAGATGGCATTTGGTATCAAAAATTTTGCTGTACAATTTATGGCTGTTTCCAATGTAATAAGAAGTAACGCGAGGTTTATTGCTTTTGTGGCCCTATTATGCAGACAAATGCAGAGGAACATAAGAGTAACCATCAAGGGTAACCACCAGTGTGCCATCATATACGTTATAAATCCATACACTGACATCGACAGCTACCAACAGTTCACTGCCGTCTGGTTTAAATGCCAGATCGTAGATACAACATCTGAATAACATCATCATCAATATTAAGTTTAGCTAATGATTCTTCAAGATTTTTTCATCCTTAACTTTTGCTGTAAACACTGATAAAGCAATTTTCCTAACCGCTTAAGTGAAAAAATTGTAATTTACAAGAATATTTTTCTTTTTAAGTAATTATTTTATTAGGACTATCGTAGTAGTTTTTTCTACTTTTCTTTGTTCTGTAACCCTATATATATATATATATATATATATATATATATATATATTTGAATAAAAAATATTAGCAAAAAATGTCAAAGTTATTCCGATAGCTGATCTTTCTGTAAAATGTTTAACAGTCATCATGTTGAAAAAATGAACTAAGAAATTCAACATAAAGGATAAAAAAGATTTTGTTTTTTTGTCATTTTAAATAAAATAAATCAGTGTTACATACTGTTTTTTTTTTTTTCGAGCTGTGCAAAAAAGCGAGTTTTTTTTTTCATAAAATTTAAAGAATATATTGCTTAAACTTTTCTCCATTTAGTATATTTATAAACTGGTGTAATGTTAATATTCTTCCTTTTTCTTGTTTATTTCTAAAACTGCTAAAGTTGCTGTTTTGCGGGAAAAAATCAACAATGGCAAGAAAAAGTGATTACACAATTGTAATTAGTCTGAAGAACATGGATGAAAGAAAAAGAAGGCTACAACACTGTCTTTCGTTCATCAAAATATTTCTAAATTAACAGAAAAAAATAGATAGAAGAGAATCTGAATCCACAAAAAAAGGAACCGACTGATTTGCTAAGCATTCGTTTGCTGTTTCTGTTGAACTCTTTTCAAAGTAATAAGGTGTTTAATTTGATTGGCTCTCACATCTTAACCATTCGGGTCTTTTTTTTTTGTTGTCATCATCATTGTCGTCGTCGTCATTATTACCCTCAGCATCTGTCTCTACTAAATATTTTATAACCTGTGACTAACTTACTATATCGTTTCTTTGTTTCTGTTTTATTTTCTTTCTTTTTTTTTCTTCTTCCCTTTATCTTCAAGATGACATTTTAGAAAGTACTTTTTATACATCTGCCAACAACACCGAACAACAACGATGACAACAGCGGCCGACAACAGGAACATTCCTTAATTGTTTTGCAATGACATCAATGCAGTTGCTCAGCAAATGAAATTATTTTCCTTTCTTTGATAGCTCGAACATACAAAATAAGACAATTAAAAGATTGAAGGAAAAGATTGCTGATTGTTAGGTTATAGAAGAAATTGCGAAAAAAATTCATTGAAAAAAGTAAAATTTTTGGAACGGCACATATGGATGCCTATTAGGAGAATAAATAAAAATCTAATTATCACTTGTATTAATTTTTGGAAAAAACCTTTATAAACATAACATTATTGGTGTTATTCCTCACTTCATAAGCACCCCTTTACTATGCGTCTGCTGTATGTTGCACCACTTCTAATTCTCTACTTTTCACAGGTAAAATTATTACTGTTCAAAATGTTCATAATCTTTTAACAAACCTTGATCAGAGATGGCTTTTTTTTAACAACACCTTAAGTTCTGACAAAATATTAATGCGAAAGAGTAAGAATTCGAAAAAATTTTTACACTCTGTACATCTCGACAAAATAATCAGCAAAAAAAAAACTTTTATTTACTTCTTCCGAGTATTACTTAAAAAAGAAAAATTATTAAACATAAAAACTGTTGCTGCCAGTTTTTTACTTAATCTATCACATTTTTATTGACAAAAATTTTTATGTTTTCAAATTCCTTCATTAAAAAGCGAAATTTTTAAAATCTCTTGATTAAGCGACAAAACTTTCGGTCATTATATCTCGCTGCCTGATTATCTTCTAGTGTTATATACTGTAACCTCGACTAGAGTACTCAAGTGAAACTGTCTCGGAATAATAAACCACTATAAATCAATCAACAAACATTTAGCTTACTATAGAAATAAATTTGTATTTGAAAGTGACTAGTCTGTTAAAGGATATTCAAAAATCTCAGGAAAAAAAGACTGGAATAAAACCGTTTAGGTGCACGGTGAATGCTGCTATGAAGGAAACGAATCGTTGTTCTGCAAAGTGTTTCAGTCGGCTTCCAAAGCTAAGCAAGACGCTATCAGATATTATTTTAATGACGATTGCAGTGAACTAGAAAATGAATTCATGCAAGAACTTGCAAATGCTAAAGACTTATCAGTGATACCGATCACCAAAGAAGCAGCTCTAGGTTATTAGCACAGTTGAATTACATTAGTTTTACAAATACTTCAGTTATAGCTTAAAAAATACTAACTGACTTTTTTTTATAAACTAAAAATACTGTAAAGTCAACAGAAGCACGTTAAACTAATTGAACCTGTTTACAGATTCACAGTACGATCCTGGTTATGATGAAAATGTTCGGCTAAATAGGCGCGCTGTAATAGCATCTAAAAAAGACTACTATAACACCGAAAATAAAATGCGAAACTTCTTACGTTTTGGAAAACGTGCTGATGGTACGTTCTATCGTTACAGTAAGTTTTGTTATTCTAGTCATCATTTCTAATTTCCCATTCTTACAAAAAATGAAATACAATTGCCACCACTGTGAACATCTGAAAACCACAATGGTCACCACGAATATACTCTGTTTATCTATTCTTGGAAAGTCAACAATTTTTGCCAGTGACCAATTTTTAATTAACTCGTAGTACTTTTTTTTAAATATTTATTTTTTTACCAAAAATACTCCTACTTGCTCCCAGTAAAATAGACATTGAGCAGAATTCGTTATCAACAATGACAGCAATGATAAACATAGTTCTTTTTTTGTTGAAGATCGCGATGGTCAAACACTAGCCTTCCTTCGTGATGTTAAATCTGCTCATGGCTCGAAGCCCAATTTCCTTCGTTTCGGTAAACGACAATTTACGAGACAAGGTGCTTCTGGAATTCCGTTTAATCCAGCGTTAATTCCTGATCACAAAGGAGGACCAAATTTCCTTCGATTTGGATAAATAAGCAAAATAAAAACGGTTCTGTTGCTACGCTTCAACTGTTTGTTTTCAGTAAAATTCTACCGTTTACCATCATCCTGTACAGTTCAGTTAACCAGTAATAATTTGTTGAAATATTTAAATAAAAGAAAAACAAATGTTTTTAAAAAAACAAGTTCCCAGAAAAAAAAATATATAATTTTCCATAAAATGTTACACAAATGGTTGACTGACTCTGTTATAACCAATGAAGAAAATTTAATTTTATTAGTAATCATTCGTCTAGTTTCTTCCTTCAGATTCTACTGTTTCAACACTTAAATGCCAGTATCCTGATATTTTTATTTCCCCGTAAAATGTATCAAATAAGAATCAAAAGACTTTTGCAAAAAAAAAGGAAAAAGAAAGAAGCTTCTGATTCACGTTAGGTTTAAAGATGATAATACGTATGCAGCAGCGGCACAAGACCTAAGAACACTATTGCAAAAACTATGCAGCACCTTGTAATTTTAATCGCTACAGTTCATTCTTACCTAATAATAAGATACTAAACTGCCGTAAATTAGTTTTTGGCTTCAAATAAGCATTCCGCTCATCGAGCAAATAAAAAAAAAAGGAATTACTAGATAGGTATAATTGTTAAGAAGAAATAAATAGGTTTGTTTTCTTTTTGAACAAAATTATCCATTAAATCAGTATCAATGAATAGCATAGCAAGATAAGATGAAAGAAGCTAGAATTGTTATTCATGAGTAATTTAATTCAGCATTATAATATCTTGAGAAAAAAATGGACCACAGCTGCAAAACTATGTTTACTGTTTTCAGTATTAAAATGTCACATCCAGTAGCCTATAATGTCAAATAAGCTTTGAAAATAGCAGAAAACAACGAGCTTCTATGAAGTAAAACAAAAATGTCAAACAAGCTTTGAAAATAGCAGAAAACAACGAGCTTCTATAAAGTAAAACAAAAAAAAAGCGAAGAAACAAAATCTGATAAATTAGATAAAGTTTATAACCAAAAAAAACTTACTTTTTACCATCGGAAACAATTTTATCAGACCAGTTCAGCGTTGGCCTCATCAAGCTGCATACAACAATCACTGCTGATCCAATTTCTTCATAAGGCTCTCCTTAGCTCAACGATTACGGGTCACCATAGTAACAGCAACTGCCCACATCAAGGTATATCCAGCAGGAAGATACGTATGAGGCTGTGTTCAGTTGTGTCAATTAATTCTGGACAAAAGATGACCCATCGTCAACGTTATGGTCACCATTTTAAGAACTTCAACGCAGCTCACTAGTTTGCTGTAACTTCCGCAACAAAATTCCATGGTAAAAGCTCAAAATTGATCACTATTGAATCTGGTGTTTCACTTTCAACTTTTCACTATTTTTATTCTTCATCATTCTTAAAAATAATTTGCAGAAATAATTATTTTTTTAAATATACAATTACTTTGTATTTGTAAGAAGGTATAATGTCACTGTTTAGGAAAAAAAAGAAGTAAAACAATAATTTTAATCTCAACAATGAAATAAAAAATGGTGTACTTTAATTAGGATATTGCAATTCAGCTTATCTGTTCAGTAGACAATTTTAGCGTTGTTTGCAATAATATTCTTCGATGCTTATGCATTACATCAATTAATTACATTTTTGAAAACCATTATTGAAAGCTACCATTGTTAGCAGTAAAAATCTGTGTAAGGCTATTAATCTAGCGTCATTTATTAAGCCGAGACAAATGAACAAACAGTCGAATGTTCTTTGAATCAACAGTCTCTTTTTTTTGAAATGCAACAAATTTTTTATTTTTATTTATGCTTAACTGGGCAACAAAAATACCTTCTTTTTTTCTTACATTAGTTGAAAGCTATTCAAAACCAAAAACTTTTCATACAGTTATTAAAAACTTTGCAGCTGATCTATGCCACATGATTCAGTTAACACTGCAAAATTAACGTGAATTTTCTAAACAGTCATCTATTACAGTGCATTAAAATTTCCTGAGGTTTTTGTGTTCAAATAAAACTGTATATTTTGGTACTTAATGTAAACGATTGTAAAGTAGAAAATTTTTTCGACTGTTTCAAATGCCATCTAATTAAGGTGGTATCAAAATGGTATACAGTAAAATTTTTTATTTTAACAAATACAATAATAACTTTAATTGCTTCTGTATGTGTTTGAATTGATCTGTTTAAAGATTGCAATTGCATTTCAAGGTTATAACTGAAGATTTGTAAATGTAAAGCATTAGCATTTATATTTTTGCGACTTTATTTGAGGTTCTACTATAATTTGCAGAACGAGTTGATTTATAAAAGCCGTTGAAGAAAAAGTAGTTCAGTTTTTTTGCAAATTAGTTTCTATACTTTGTGCTTGCTTTATGCTAACATCTCTTAACCTCACTTAGTGTTAAAACAGAGCAGATTTCTGTGTTGAAACAGATAAATATTTAAAGCTAGATTAGTTTGCATACATAAAATACGAATAAACTGCATTTATAAAACGCATAGATGTTCATCACAATGAAAAAGTGAATGGTATATTCAACCAATTGTTACACAATAAAAATTAGTAATATTCAGTAATATGGTAAAACAAAATAATAATAATAAAAAAAAGCATTTGTAGTATTTTTTTACTTTTATTGTCAACTGGCTAAAAGCTACGA